GGAAGATTTGAGACGAACGCAACTTAGGCTACAAGTACCGAATTCTGGATTTAAAGATGGAGGGCTGTATCAACTACAAAAGAGATGTAATAGCTGATGAATTTCAGGATGTTGAAAACGAAAACGAGGAGCTACTGAGGAAACTAACTCGGCTAAAAACAGTGAAGAGGCCACCGATGACACGCTCTTTCAGGTAAAATCCTTGCTCGCTTTCTTTTTCCTCATTCCCTAACGCTGTTCATGTTTGTGTGAGGTTGAGCACTTCAGCAGCATGCATTTGCCCTGCCAACTTTCACTTAGATAAGTTCATTTCATGCCTAAAACATCCATCGTTACCCCGTAGTGCAGAAAATTTAGAATGCAGATGTAGAAATTATCCAAGTAATCCTTCCACAGCCTCAACAGAGGACCCGTATGTTATCCGTGCCTTTTTGAGGTATACACAAATAATTCTGTATAGTCATACATATGTAATATGTCGCCTCCTACATATTTGGATATCACAGATAATGATATCCTATACATCACCCAAGTGCTTTCGGCATACGCCATAGCGCAATGAGCATCTTTTTCTAACAGTGTTTCTGACAATTCTTTCACAGAATTTTATAACAGAAAGCACCTGCTCATAAATTTTTATTTCTATTTAGCATTTGTCACATTAGCAACAAGCTGTTGCTAGTGTAACATGCTTACTTAAGTACTTCACAAAACCGTTATTTCATTGTTATGCGCTTTCCTTCTATTGCTGCAGCTAGCATCGTTTCCGCTGTATCAGTTTAACTCAGTTTATAGGCCCCCAAATAGCCCATTAAATCCTCATTACTACGGAAAGAGAAAGCAGCCATTATTAGTATCATAGATGCGATGTAGTGAAAAATTTGCATACTTCCTTAAAAAAAGTGGTTTCGCCGTCCGCACTGGTTCCTGAAATTCAGGAATGCATGGGCCCTTCCCACTACTGTAATTACTGTAAACTTTAAAAATTTCAGTTGTTTGGGAACCTTGAAAAATTACAAGTTTGAAGATTCTACACTTA